GTCTTTTCGAGGAAGCTTTTTCAGATCCGTATAGTTATGCGGATCTTGTTCAATTTGTTTCACGTATATAAAACGCCCTACGTTTAAATTCTCTCGACATTTCATAGAGTCGGATTTCGTCGGTAAAAATAATACTTTGATTTTTTTTTAACAATCTCGCAACAGTGGAATCATGTTTCATCAAAACGCCACAGTGCTCGAAATTTCTATTACACGCGGAAAAAGATAGAACCATAGAGGGAGAGAGAGGAAGAAAGAGAAAAATGTTTCAGCGGGCAAGAGTACGCACGAGCCCGCGTAACTGAATGCTCACGTTCGATATCTCGATAGCGTAATAAACCCTGCCGGGTTAAATTGAGAAAATTATATTCCTCTTGCCGTGCTTTCATATTATCGAAGCTGAAAAGGTGGCTAAGTGTTTGTGTACCCTGAAGATCCCGGGAGCGGTGACAGTGGCGTACAGCACCTCTGTCGGGGTATTCCCTCGGTTAAAGTGGCTATGCGCGCGCTGAAGAAGATACCCTGGGATAGTAACCCGGAGCCGGAGCGCGGGAAATGGAAGGTGAACTAACAAACCTCCCGTTCCCTCGGTAAAAAAAAAAAAAAAACTTTGAATGCCACGAGATTTCCGGTGCCCCGGAAAAGAGAAGAATTACTTGGTCGCAACGAGAAATAATCGTTTCTCGTCGTTGTCGTACGCCGTACGGCATAAGTTAAAAATAGACACTGACACCCTGGAGAATAGTTACCTCTCGGAAAAAGTCTGAATAGCGGGACGGCAGTGAGTTGTAACAGGGAGGGAAGAAACTCGCGGAGAGAGAATTATTTTCTCCGACATGATTCTTAGTGAGTGTAAGCACGCCACCGTTGTTGTTTACCGTTCGAAACGCGGAGATCCCTCGTGCGCTCTTTGTCATCGGGAAAGCCTAAGGGGCCTTCGAGAGGGGGATGTTCCACGACAGGAAATTGAACACGACCGTTTACGACTGTGTAATAACAGGCTTCGTACCGGACCACTTAAACAGCAATTGTAGGTCATCTCGAGGAGTCACTTGGCACGACACAATACTGCGTTCTCTCTCTCTCTCTCTCTCTCTCTCTCTCTCTCTCTCCTCCACTCTCTTCGTGTAGAACCGAAGCTACTAGTCGAGATTGTTGACAATGAGATAGGAAAGTGCCTCTCGAACGAACTCATTGAGAGCTAAATACCGACGAATAATGATTCGCCCGTGAAACGGAATGGCCCGATGACCAGAATGATACGAAACGTGATTAAAAATGTATCGACGTTACATTTAACCTTTAAAGATCCGCGAGACGTTGTATAATGTCCCGTTCTCACGCCACCTTTTATTTTCTCATTCGAAATTCTCGTGATCAACAGATTTTTAGTCCGGCTCTCCGGTATAACCGACGTAATTAATTCTCGCAAAAACTCTTACAGCCATATGGTTGGCGTAATTACGTTATCACCTTAATAAGTCTCATCTGGAAAGGTCCAGGGCAAAAAGTGAATAGGATATTGAATTATTTTAAAGTCGCTTTTATCTCGTTAACACTGTGAGGTCAGCGACGTTTGAATAGCCAGACGGAGTAATTAATCTCTATATTAATTTCTCATTTGAAATAAGATCTCGGATTAGTTTCTTGACCTAAAGTTTAAATTTCATAGCGCTTTATTGCAGAAACTGTAGGAACCGGACACTTCAAACAGCTTTAATAAGATCGCGTTCTACGTCGGATTAGAACATTGACGTACATGTATGGTTCTAAAAGGTAGCAAGTCAACTGGGAATGCATCGATCGTCATTTCAAGTACTGCACGAGGTCGTTCTACGAGCCGTTCTTGACGCATCGGCCAATCGCGACGACGATCGAAGAGCGTTTCAAATTTTATAGCTCTAATTTCGCGGAAGGTCTGATTGGCTTGAAATGCTTCTCGTGTTCGATCTTTCGATAGAGAGGTTTCTCGACTTTGATCTCAAGAATCTCAAGAAAGAAAAAGATAAAAGAAAATTTTGTTATTGGAATAAGTTATCTAATCTTTTTCTGCTATTAATCTTTTGTATCCTTTACGTCTTTAAATTAATTATTTTATTATTAAAAATTTTTATTAACAATAAAAAGTCAATAATTAATTTAAAAAAAAAATAACGTAAAGGAATTAACACAACGGTTTATTAGTACGCGTAGTACGAGTAGTCGGTTATTATTTTAACTCTTTCGTAGAATGACGTTCGTTCGCCGGGACTAGAATTATTGTTCAACGTAACTTGGAAATTTTGCTAGAATGAAATAGTCGTTCCGCTAATGTTGGGATCCACCCAACTTATCAGGTTTCACATAGTTTCAAAGAAAGTTCATAACGCATACATTTTTACGATTCTTCGTAGTGCATACACTTTTGTGGAAGTTTTGCTCGAATTTGAAGAACGCGCGCAACCACGCGGATGTTTATCAAGTGGGAAGTTTGTTTTGCTATAATAAAAGTCGACCGATAAAAAAAAAAACAGGAGACTGAAGGTCTGGAGGGAAACTTGTGGGCGTCCTCCTTCTCAAAGTCGGACGGTCATGTTAGAATAAGGAGGTATCTCCTGTAAATTTAATGGCGGATCGCGTTTGCAGACGTCGACTTTCTACACCCTTTTCGGTTTATATCTCTCCCTCGTCCACTTTTCGCCGTTCCATATCTTTTCTCTTCTGGTGCTGTCGTCATATAATCTCCATAAAAAAGTTTGCGATACGATCCTGTCATTCACGTCGTCCTCAGTTAATAACACTGGCGAGATCACTCGCTCTCATGCTCGAACATAAACCATCCTGCGGGCATCGTGTTGGCAGATCAGTTTCACACATTCCCGAAATACTGCCACTGAATTTTCCTCCTTCCCCACTTGACACTATCTCTCTGTTCTCCCCTCCCCCTCCTCTTCTCACACACACACACACATACACATACACATACATACGTACGCAAACAGAGTTTGCATCAACCTCAAATCCATGTTCATTATGGATAAATTCCTAAGCCATTAACATCCCTATAATCTTACCGTTCCGAGCAACGCCATCAATCCTCTTTGCTCTAAGCCGCCCCTTTCCGTCTCAATTTTCCTGATCATTCCTCACCGTCCAATAATCCTGTAAAATGATAATACGACGATGTCGCTGGATTCGATGAAATAATAGTGTGTCAGCGTTGTATCAATTAACTCATGTATACGGTCTCACGACGGAAAGTCACATCAGTAGGACAGTCACGAGATATGTATTTTTCATTTTGCGCGCACAGAATTTTTCCCGGGCGACAATTTCTTTTCATCAGACTGACAACGAGAAGAAGGGGAGAGAGAGGGGGGGGGGGGGGGGGGGGGGGAGAGGAAATGGTTTTTGCCTCTGGGGCTCAGGCATAAATAGACTTATTCGATTTCATCTGTGATCAGAGATGTTTTCTCATGCGTTTTCCAGGGAGCGGACTACGGAAGGCTACGGAAGAAGAAGCGAAAAAGTTCACGTGGGGGTACAAACATCCGAGACGTCGGGGAAGTGTGCGACGCCGGCGATCTGCAATTGCTAAATTCATTCCGCTAGCCTCGAGGATATGTTATTTCTGAAGGCACGGGTTCGAATCGCGCGTATCAAATGCGCCCGCAATGGCGGCGGAAAGTGGGCCAGGTCGGCTGTCGGAGCCGGTAAGTTAACGGCGACAATGTAAAGCGGTTTCATCCTTTTGCCCGGCTCGATAGAGCCTCGCGGCTGCGGGATTAAACTTTAGATAGAATCTCTCGAACTTTATTTATCTACTTTGATAATGCGCGAGAGACGAGGCGATGCTTTATATATATATATATATAGCGACAATGACACCAAACAAGATAAAGCTTTAATTTCGGATATGATGTACGATAAAGCGTGAACGACGACACTTACCGTAATATTATAGGTACCTAAAAAAATAAATAGACTCCACTTTTTTTTAAGTTAAATTTTAAAAGAATCATTTTTTTCGGAGAGGTATTCATGAGAGGTGCCATTTGTTTGCGTAAACACGTCACGAGCGTAGGGGAAACGCGTTGCGAGAATTAAGGTCAGTGGTTTTGATATCCCGCGTGCTCGGGGGACAAGATCTCTCTCGTGCTCCGATTCCTTCATTAATCCTCATTATTCTTCGTTAACCTTGCTCTTGTTCCTCATTAATCTCCGTTAATCCCCGGTGGAGCTATCGCCAACGCCAGTCGTCGGGAACAGGCGAGGCAATGGAATTGATAATATTCTTGATTTACTTCGCACCCCCTACACTCTAGCTGGTGTTCTAATCTGGCAAAACAAATAACTAGTTGACTCTCGAGTTTGTTCGTAGATGTAACTGGGAGTGAGCTGCGGAAGCGATGAGACACGAGCGACGTTAAGGTGCGATCGTCTGGAATGAAGGATTAAGATAAAGACCGCGCGACGTTTATGACGAGATCCTGCCAGTTGCAGAGAGAGAGAGAGAGAGAGAGAGAGAGAGAGAGCTCGGAAACTCGAAACTCGAATTCGCGATAGAGATAATCGGGTACGTGCCCTTCGCGAAATATCGGCAGCTCTCTTTGCTGTCGTTTTCATAACGGATGTCGAGTGCACAAAGCCCCGCGGCTTTCCGCGACGAACCACCATCTGTCCATTTAACCGGACTCCGTTGAATTTGCGGAAACGCAAGCGTCAATCGACTCTCTCGTCGCTGTTGCTGTATCGAAAAGGTGGAGTCGCGATATACCCGGACACTTGATATCTCCGATCGAGCTGATACTCCGCGTGTATAGCACGTAATGCGTTCAATGCGTAATTATCACGGATTATTCTCGTGAGTGGAGTCACGATCCGATCCCGGTGTGTGATTGGTGCGACGCGGAATCGGGAATCAGGAATCAGGAATCAGGAATTGTCAGGAATGCGACGCGCGTTGCCTCGAGAACGGAAGCGATCGTCGTAACACAAATCGATCGCGGATTTGCTCGCCGGCACCGGGGAATTGCAGGGCCACGTCGAGTGCGTCGAGTACCCAGGTACTTTCCAGGGTCGTTTCTTCCGTCATGCGGGCGGAAGTCGGTGGACGTGCGGCGTCGACCGTCGCGCGGGGCATCTCGTCGGGCTTGTACCCGGTGGTGATCTGGATGAGCACGAGATGAAAGCGCGAGTTACCTCCACATCGCGGGATGTCGTCGGGATTGACTGGGTGAAGGGGAGAGGACGGAACGGGATGAGGACAGCCGGGGAAATGTCCAGCACGGTGATCGGCGGTAGCTCGAGACGTCGTTCGCTGATGCTGCTCACTACGATCGTCTACTGCTGCTGGCTGCTGATGATCGGCGAATGCGTCGGCCAGAAGCCGATTAATCTCGGCGGCAGCAAGAAGCGCGACGTCTACATCGCCGGCTTCTTCCCGTACGGCAATCACGTGCCGGAGGGTCACATCGGCCGCGGCGTCATGCCCGCGGTGAAGCTCGCGGTGGAGCACATCAACGAGCACCCGACGATACTCAGGGACTATCGACTGCACATGTGGTGGAACGACACGGAGGTGAGTTGATTTCATGAGTTCCCTGTGAAATATAATAAAATATAGTTCAATCCCTTAACGATAGTTAACCAATCCCTGAATGTGAATTTATCTCTTCTTCGTGGATTTATCACTTTTTCAATAAGAATACTCCTTCTTTTCTGGAACACGATGTTACGCTCTTTCCTTTTGTCTTTCTTTTTCTTTTTTCCAATTATCTGTTCTTATGTATTGTTCAAGACTGATTCTTTTTCATTATTATTTTATTACGGATCCGCCCAAGTCTTTTGTCGAGTTATGAGCAGTTATGTAGTACAAGGCTCGTTAAAGATTAATAAATTATTAATTCGCTTATAACATGTTCTCTAAATTACTGCTCAAATATATTTCTCTCAATCTTACTTAGATTAAGATTAATAATTCTTGATCGGAATTCCCAATTGTTGAATAAATAATGATATTTAATAGGCGGTAATGTAGGGGATATATTTGAGGCCACTAGGGACTCTACAGATTCCCGGCCGCGTACAAAAATAACATGTCCAATCGAAAATTGATCAATTATTCGTAGATTGGATATTTACATCTTCTTTCGTCAGTCTCCAAATATATTTCTCAATTTCGATTAAATTGAAGACGATGACTGATCAGAATTCCTGAAGACTTTTCATAAAAATGTCATGACTTTTCTCCTCCATTTCTTTCTGTTTTCCATTGAAATGTAAGAAATCTAATTTAATACGTAAGAGAAAAAGTAGTATCGTATATGAAATCCTATTTCATTTTTAATAGCTTGGAAGCTTCCAATTTCGGTAAATGTATTTAATGAAACATCAATTTATAGGAGATTCAATACTTTATAACGTAGCGAAGTGGAGAGATAAATGCAGTGAATTTTTAAATTTCATCTTAAGAGAAAATCACGGAAAGCACTTTAGAAATAATTTTTCTGGTAATATAAATCATTGTATATAAATTTGCAACATTTATTAAAAAATAATAAATATATATATATGAAGACTATGTACGAAAGAATTCAAATCTTAAAATGTAGATTATAATTATTTACATGTAATATTATATCTAATTTTCTGCTTAGTAGCATGATTGTAAAATTGAGTTACATTATCGCAAACCTACTTAAATTCCTTTCCTTGTATCTACAAAACTTTTTGTACATCTATAAAAATTGTAGATCAGTAAAAATATACAACTGTCGGATGGTTGAAATTTGTGTACTTTAGAAAAAGATTCCCTTAAAAACAAGTAACGTAACAAAACCATCGGATGTAGAATTTTTGTATATTCGTAAGAAATTTCTCGAAAATACGTAATATAATAAAACCGGCCAAACTAATGTTGCTCCGAGGGACGGAAACATTCTCTATCGGTATACATAAAATCCATATAACCCGTGTATACGGATAACCATGCCGGGTTGAGAACAAAATGTAAGACCCACCGGTGGATATGCGGATTTTCATGAGAGAAAAACATGTTCCACCATTAGATATATATAACGCTGAACACACATGAGAAACCGATATGGCATGATAGAAGCAAATTTAGCGTTTATGCAACGTCATCGTAGACTTATCGTTCACAATCGTATCCTATAGATCTGTTTCTACAATTCTTTCAATATCTCAGTTAAACGACTGCACATGTAAACGTATATGTACTTTTTTATTCAACTTATCGATCTGTTCAACTCAATTAATAATTCATGATTCGAACGTTAGCGATAATAATACGAATCTGTTTAAGTTTTATCCAAAAATATTATGTATGTGTCCGTAGAAACTAGATAATGAAAAATAGAATTGGATTTCAACGTGCGAAAATGCAATTGTAAAATTTAGGTCAAGGAACGAATCAATTTTTATCGTTGGAAAACTTTTAGAAAATGAAAGAGATATAAAATGTATATACATATTTATCGCAAAATATCAAATATGAAATTTGATACTTGTAAACTGAAAAGCGCGATTTGATCTCGTTCTTTCTCCTAAATCTATTATCGGATTTTTTAAAGCAGACTCGTGTGTGTCTGTTTTACACAGATTGACGCGCGGAAAGGGTGGTTCAGTGTTAGCGTTATTACATCCTGAAAAGTTATTTTGCTATGTTATTATTATCACACGGCAGCGTCTCGACGTCAAGTGCATAAAAATAGCGTCAGGCCGTATGCGACCATGTTCACGCTATTATCTGTCGTCGAGCGCTACCTCTTTTCTGGAAATTTCGCACCTCGGATTTTGCTATTAAAATTTTTCAGAGAATAATATTATAGTGGGAAATCTAATGAAATTCTCTTTACAATTATATTTTTAATGGGTTAGTGGGTCGACCGCAATGTTATTATCATTTTTTTTTTTAATGTACTGGAAATGGCCTCCATCGGCGGCGAACGTGACATTCGTTATTCTTTTATTTATTCTAATAATAAAGTCGAATCCGTATATTTGTTTTTTCAAAACAATATTAAATTGAAAACAGCTTATCAATATTGTCGAAACCGTTAATATTTTTGTAAAATAATTAATCGAATAATTCTTAATCTGTTTCCATTTATTTGTTTATTTGAAATAACACGTTATTTAAAAAAAAGCCATCAATTTTATCTGAATTTTAACACCAGACGCAACATTAATTCCTCTCCATAGTTTTACAGTGAGGTAATAATATTTTTAAAGAAGTAATATTTTTAAAAATTAATCTAATTAATTATTAAATATTTTCGTTTTGAAACAGCATCAGAAATATGGTCGTACGAAGTACGGACAACTCGCTAGCTAGTTATTAATAAAACTTTTATTGATATTGATTTTTTCGTGTGCGCCACCCTGTTACATTATACATTTTAAAACACGCTCCGATTCGCTCAGCGCATCGAGACTGAAACACATAAAGTCGTTATTACGAATCACCATGTTACAGCCGCGCGAAAATGATCTCCACTCGGGATAATGGTAATGGGGACAGATGCGGAATACGTTTTTTTTTCCACTTTACGAATCGAGAATTAAACTCGCCGAAATCGCAGCTCCGAGCAAAATTCGTCGCGTGAACGTGACGCATTTGGATCTGTCGAGAATATTTGACGGGTGAACGCATTGTCCCGAGAGAGAAAGAGAAACAGGGTGAGAGAATCGGGATCGCGTATATAGGAGAGGGAGGAGGGTTGGGCTTTGCCTTTGCCAGCCATCGCCGATGTTGCGCATCGGTCGATACATCCAGCCAGCAACCGCCACTTGTATCTCAATTTCCGCTGAATTAGGGAGCTATCGATGCGGGACGATTTATCGCGTTGTTTACCGCCGCGATCGCGACGGCAGCGATCGTCGCGAATTTCGCGAAATCCTCTTCGATTCCACCGCAAAATGAACGATCGTCCGCTCCGTGTACAGACTGCTCTCTCTCTCTCTCTCTCTCGCCATTCTTATTTCTCGCCACCCGCACCCGCGCCGCGCGACCGTGTAGGTATTTTTCGAACGTAGACCTTAGACATCGAGACACGTTCCGGTTTCCGTCTGCACGTCTGTACGTCGACCGTGTATAATGTATACGTAGCCTCCTAGCCGCCTCTCGAGTCGCTCCGACCTAGAGAGGTAGACGTGGGGAAATTGCGGAGAAAACTTGCTGGAGTAGGAGCGCACACCCGAGTCAAGGATACCCGACCGCGACTGCAACTTCGAGGGGGGAAAACTTTAACGTTTACCTTTCTCTGTAGCGTCTGGAAGTATATACATATATGTATATACGACACCCATACGAACTCGCGCGAGAGTCTCGCGGAATTGGGTCCCTTCATGGCTGACGTCTGCATCCGAAGGGGTGGCGCGGATCCGCGAGCGAGCGAGCGAGTCGCGCACGCCTTAAATTATAGATGGAAATTTATGCGAGCGCTCTATGGGTCGTGCAATGCCTATGAAAAACAATGCGCGGGCGAGTCGTTGAGTGGAACTGCGAGAGAGTGTAAATCACAGCTTTCTCATTTTCGAGAAACGAAAGGGTTTGCGGAGGACACTCGACGTAAGATATTTTCGGTACTTACCCTCTTTTTCACAGCATCCGTCTGCGAGGGAAGCGTGGAATTTTATTTCATTCCCTAAATTGACGAGAGAGAAAGAACGGGAGACGCGGTTATTGCGCCTTTTAACAAAAGTACGGGGTGTTATTGTTGCGAGCGTGCGATTCGAGCTGCTATTTTTTGTTCTCTTATCGACTTTCTCTCTCTCTCTCTCTCTCTCTCTCTTTCTCGAAATATAGCAGAAAGGATGTAGAGACCTGTCGGAAATTTTCTACACGCGTGCTTTACTCCCGAAGCGTCCGCTGACCGGAATGAAAGAATGCAACGAGATTATCTCGTTAAATATACTTGACGTACTTTCGATAAAGCGCGACGCTCTTTACATGCATATATATTTTATATATATATGTATATATATATATATATATTTAACGTTAGTCTGTGCATAGCCACGTAATATAACATTATCCCTCTTTTCTTCGCAATGGAAGGTAAACAGCCGTGAAACAGTCTTTTTTTCTTCAACATAATTTCTCGTTCGCTGAACCCGGAGAATCGTGTCGCGATTTACGACTTTGCGCGCTTATGCTTGGAAAATCGCTGAGACTTCCAGACATATCGAATTATGAGAGAGTCTCCAAGTTAGCCCCGGAGGAAGCTGAGCTAACGACAAAAAGTGGAGCAGCTTGTACAAAGACTGAAAAGATTAATCGCTTCCGACTACTTCCGCCGAAAGGATATTGTGAGCTGTGTTTTTCTAGTTTTCTACGATCGGTGGACAATCGGAGACCACGTGGTATTTTCAAGTACGCTACCAGTAGTTACAGTAAACACGCGTGTAGACGCGACTGGCTATTTTCGTATATTTTTCATTGTGAGTAGCATTTTTTTGCTCGCCAATCGATGCGCATCGGATTTGATTAATTCAACCGTGTAATCGAGCGATGCAGTTTAAAATTAATTCTTTCCATTTTCTTTCGCGAAAGAAATTACTGCTGGAAATCGACGCGTCGAATTTTCCGCATGGGCGTTCCGCGACACGCAATCGCATAATTAAGTTATCTACCGCTCCGTTCAATCGATATCGCTTTCGTGATTTAACCCGAGACGTCTAAGCGCAAAGAGATCTTTCCTTTCGTAACAGTAGATTATTCTTTACTATTCGCTGTGACAATACAGCCCTTGTTGTTCGAGATCGATAAAATGATACCTCTCCTCGTTTCCATAGCACTTCGTACTTGAAACAGGCTCGGATTTATTCTTCTTGCCAGCTTCTTCTTTTCAGATCTCTGCTGTGGAGCGGATCGTTAAACGATGACTAATGAACTTACGAGTTCTTCCTTGAGTTGCACGAATCTATCTCGTAACATAATTTCCAAGGACGGATTTTTATCTCTGCTTCGTGATAACCAATGTATCGGAAATCGATGTAAAATAAAATGAGGGGACATGCAATAAACGTGAGACGGAATCTTCTAAGTAGCGATAAATGTGGATTAAATTTAAAAAAAATTTTTGAAGGACAGTCGCGCTCACCTTTATGAATTTTTAAATAAAGAATTAACCCGAGATAATGTAAGTAGCTTGTGACGGAATTATGAGGACGGAAAATGCATGAGAGAAAAATAATGGCGCAACAGCAGCAACGGGGGAGCGATTCAGAAAATGTTGCCGGCGCGAAATATCTATTTTGAAAATAATCTTCATTGATTTTGTGTGGAAATCTCAGACTGCTCATAATATAGATTCAGCGCTTCGTACGCAGGTAGAGGGACTCGTTTCGTTTCTGTCCAGCCAGAATTTCTATTTTCATCTGTACAATTATATCCTTTTACATCTTGTCTTCGGAACGGGGTCATCCACGGTGAACGCAAAGAGAATGTAGCGATACGTTGGAATCAATTTTCATGTGAAAAAGAACACTCGAAACGGTGCTGATATCAAAGGAGCATGTAGACATCGCGACTCAAACGGAATATGCGATGTCAGTCCCAATGATCGTCTGTCGCCAAGATAACTCATAGCTCAAAGATTATTCCTGCTTTAACTGTTATTTCAGCTACAACGCACAAAGCGCTAGCATTCTATCCGTTCGCATTATATTTATTTCAGCAAAAATTCAACTTTCGAGAACAAAGTTTTTCCTTTGACGGAATATTTAAAATACTTTTCCTATTTTTATTATAAAAAAAAAACCATTATAATACGAATAGTTAGAGTTCCCTACGCTTCCTCTCCGAGGTAAATAAAATCGAAGAGTGTATGTGTGTCTGTGTGTGTGTGTGAGAGTGTGTTACTCGCATTTATAAATACACAATGTTAATCCCGCGCAAGCTTCCGGACTAATCTTTCGATAATTAGAACAACGCCCGATATTATGATAATATTTTCCCTTCCCTGCCGATTTGGCATTCTATTCTCCGCTCTTCTCTATTTTCTGGCTGTACACCAACAAACACTTGTTGATTCTGCAAATATCAAAGAAGATTTTTGATATAAGAAATGATCACTTTTCATCTTGAAAGCAAACACGAACCGTGAAAACATGAGAAAAAGTAACATACGACGCATTTCGCCATATTACGCCCAATATTTTTTGCGATTTTAAAGTACTTCTCATTTTATCGTATCTCAGATATTTTCTTGATTTCCACCAGACGTTTCTTGAGATTGCCTTGAAATTGCATACTTTCATAATGCGAAAGTATTAAGGGAAACGAACGTAGGTAATAAATCGCATATATTGCAGTGCAGTGCCGCCGTCGGGATGAAGGCGTTCTTCGACATGATGCACAACGGGCCGCACAAGGTGATACTCTTCGGCGGAGCTTGCACACAAGTCACGGATCCGATAGCGAAAGCCTCGAAACACTGGCGCCTTACGCAGGTAATGCGACGGTAAAACGTTGTCGTAAATATTCATGACTTGCGGGAGACAGTTCCCTAGCTTGCTCTTTTTGCTTATTTGCATACTACCACACAGACACGTGTACACGCATTGAGGGGGGGTGATGAAAAACAGAAACACCTAAGGGAGATGTGATTTTTTTATCAACATTCGCTCTCTACTCTTATTGTTGCAGCTCAGCTACGCGGACACCCATCCTATGTTCACAACCAATAGCTTCCCGAATTTCTTTAGGGTCGTGCCGTCGGAAAACGCCCTCAACGCACCGCGAGTGGCGTTGCTTCTGCATTTCAACTGGACCCGGGTCGGTACGATTTATCAGAACGAGCCCAGATACTCACTGGTAAAAGTTCATTTTGATGCAGCGATCAAGACAGTACTTGTCTGATAGTAAAACTGAATGAAAAAAAAAGAGAGAGAAATAAAATTTATAAAATTTAAAATAATTTTCTATATTGTGAAAACTTAAGGTACAACTTCGAAAGGGTACTTTCTGTACCCTTTCGAAGTCGTATACGTTTTTATCGCAAACGTAATTAAATTTAATAACTTAGATTCCGTTCCTTCAGCGAATACCCTCTTCTTTGTTCGTGATGTAAAAACTCGGTGTACATAAAAGGAAAATAGGAAATGTTGAAAAATCTCAAGACTTCCTTGTACATTTTCCACGCGTTAGATACCATTAAGAAAGTGATTCAAACAGCGATTCTCGACAGTTGGAAGCAATTCGAGGAAATGAAAGGGTTAATTAATCCCGTCGCGAGAGCGCGTCGTTCTCCACGTGCGCTCGCGGGCGTGGGTGATGTATATGTAGCAACTGTTCCATTTACATTATAAATGGAGATTTGCCGTCGCTAGCGGCCTGCTTGAACAAGCTAAATGCGCGAATGCGCTCACGTTATGGCACGTGATAAGCATTTGGATTGAAAGCTGCAGGAAAGTCCTCTCTCTCTCTCTCTTTTTCTCTCTCGTCACACTCTCCCTGCGAATCTCCTTTCCAGGTGCACAATCGGTTGGTGGCCGACCTGGATGAGAGCAAAATGGAGCTTGTGGAGACGCTAAGTTTTGCCACCGAGGTGACAACGGCGCTCGAAAAGCTTAAGGAAAGAGACGTGAGGATCCTCCTGGGAAATTTCAACGAGGCGTGGGCTAGACGGATATTCTGTGAGGCTTACAGGTTTGGCTTATATGGCAGAAAGTATCAGTGGGTCATCATCGGGACTTACACCAGAGAGTGGTGGTTGCGCCCGGGTGGCGGATGTGCCCCCTCCGAGCTGTCCGAGGCCCTCCACGGTGTCATCCTGACGGATTTGCTTCCGCTGACGACCGAGGAGCAACATACCACGTCCGGAATCGTGAGTGAACCGCCGCATTGACATTTTTACTGTTGGTTTTCGATTAAATCCGCGCGGATCGCTCCGGGGGAAGTCGGATCCTATTTAATTTAAAAATTACTTAACCTCTAAATTAGAATTGGTCGAAAGATCGTTAATGTAATTTAATCATATCCGAGGTCCTCTTTTCTCGGCAGAAATGCGACGTAATGTTATTTCTTTCGTTCCACGTGAATAGCTGAATACGATTCTAAAAGGATTACGGAAGAATCGCGATTCAGATTGGTTGTAGAATCCGCAGATGGAGCACGGTACTTCGAGTATCGTACGTAGGTATGCATGTCTGCTCGATTGCATTTCTGATGGAATACGGATCCCCGAAAATTGCGTTTAATCGCGCCTCGGAGCGACCGAGAACGATTCAAATGGAAACGGCATATATACGACGAGTCTTTGAGATTCGTCATATGCAAGGGCACGCCTGTTGCGTCTCTATTCGATTTTATGTGTTTCACCCCTCAGACCCCGGACCAGTATTGGAAAGAGTACGATTCGAGACGGGGTAACGAGTACTCCAGATTCCACGGATACACGTACGATGGTATCTGGACGGTCGCCCTGGCTGTGAAACATGTCGCGCGCAGGATACGACACTTCCATCGTAACCAGACTATATCCGACTTTCGGTACAGGGACGTATTGTGGGAGAAGCTCTTCCTCGATGCCCTCAGGAATACAAGCTTCGACGGTGTCACGGTAAGCTTGGCCCGCCTCGCAATTTCGCGCCGCAACGACGCCCCTTCTCCCTTGTGCGCCGAACACAAACCGGATAATGTCATTCGACATAAAACCCTTAGTGCTAAAAACGAACGCCATTATAGAACGTGCCACACAGTAAGAGTAAAAAGCTGCAGCAGCAGTTTTCTGGGCAGGTCATCTTGGATAAGTAAGATGACAAAAATGTCACCTTATTCGAGTTTTCTGCTCCTCTTTTATCGCTAATGAACACTTTTCAACAGCCTTTAAAAAGATATTGTAATTCTAATCCGTGTATTTACTATTTGATTTCTATTATAACTGATAAACGGAAAATTCTATGAAAGAAAATTGTTACATCAAGTAATTCTGTTTAAAAAAAAATTATCTTGAAAGTCTATACTAGTTTTCTACTTTTCGTTGACGCCATCGGTTGCTAACGAGTTTCTAAAAGATATCTAAAAAGTTAGGTAACTGTAACAGATTAAGACTTTTTAATGTTTCATAAATTTAATTTTTCTGATAACTTTCTTAATATTAAATTATTGAGTTTGAAAAACACGTTCTGAGAAAATGTACTACAAATATATAATTTAACTTTTCTACTTTTAAGTGCTTTCTTTTGTTTTTCTTAAATTATAACATTAATATTGTATATCACTTGTTATATTTGGGCTGCAATGAGAATTTTGGATGAAAATATTAAGATTTTTATTTCTCATAGCTATGCGGCCGTTTTCGATTAAAATAAAAATTTCTGTTTATATGATATTTTTTTTCGCGTAATCGCCCTAGTAAATTCTGAAGACGTTTCATACTGTTTTGTGACATATATTTGTATTTCATGGAGAAAAGAGAATTCCGCGCTTGGATTATCATCTTTAGCTTTAGCCTTTTAACGATAATTTCCGTAATTCAAAGCAAAATATTTCTCTTTCCGCGCTCGATTGATTCTCGTCACTTAGCTCCAATTCGCCAAGTTGTTATTTGTGTCGAGGGCATTGAGATATCTATTGTTGCCGTGAGACTGCCCCCGGGCATTGTAGAACCGAGAGGAACTCGCTTGACGACAGAGAATAAGGAAGAAGAAGAAGAAGAAGGAGACGTTTATAAAGAAGGGTGAAGAAGATTGGAGAACGGGTCTTTACATTCTCTCATTAGACGAGCGACAACCCTTGCTTTCAATCGTCGTATGCGTGGGTTTGGTGACGACGAGCTGCTCGACACTTTGTGCCTGTCATGGACAGAGAGATGCGAAGGAACACAGGCTGTGTTTCTCAGTAATCAACATTCGCACTACCGCGCGTGTTACACTTGACCGTCTTTTTGTCCGACCCCGAGTGTCTTCAAGCGCAGGCATCACTTTTCTACATACACCTAACTGCGCGAGCGTTACCGGCAAACTTAATGAGTTGCCTCTTTTTCCCTTCTTTTTTGCAATTTTTCTCTTTGTTCTCTTTCTTTCATTCGTATATATACCCGTGACGCAGTGCTTTGCAATGCCACGGTTGAGCACGTTTTAGTAAAAAGGGATGCATACATGTATGGTAGCAATAACAGAGCGGGAGAATGGGACCGATCGGTGGTGAACCGAATTGAAATTAAAACGAAATCAAAAACATGACAAACCGCCGGGCGAGTTAGCGGGGCAAATTGGCATGAGTTGATAGCGAGTTGAATCGGTGAGCGCGGGCTTTTATTTTAAAATTTGATTCACGATCCCGATCGCCTGTGGTAACCGTTCTGTATAATAACGCGACATGAATGTGAGAAGTTTAACATTTTGCAGGGACCGGTCCGCTTCTACGACAATGAGAGAAAAGCGTACATTCTTCTAAAACAATTTCTGGGTAAGTTACTTCTTGGTACAGGGTGAGTCGGCGCGGGGAGAAGAAAGAGAAAGAGAAAACTTCGCATTTAGAATTAAACAGATAAAGTACCTATTTCGAAATAAATTTCAGCGTACTGGCTGTAGTTCAGCAATTAATGAAGGAATTCAAATGAAAAATGTGTCATGTAGAAAGCGCGGATGCAATTCCGATTCAACAAAAGAATTTTTTTATATTGCGCTATGGATACGAATTCGAACAGTTTCAATTAGGTGTGCTATTTCTTTTTTTGCTCGATATCGGTGATCGGGTATTTCGCATGAGTGGTGTAATTTACGGACCAGTGCGTACATTTCCCGCGACCGACTCGATTTTAATAATAATACAGATATACGGATATTAAAAATTGCTCGTGTCGAAATAAGCGCTCTTAATACAAAATAGGAATATTATTATTTGATCGGTGTGCGCGTTCCTGATTGAATGTAAACTTTTTAGACGGTCGCGAGGTAAACGTAGGCGAGTACGATAGCATAACTGGCGTTCTGGATCTGACGAGACATAAGGCCTCGCTGTGGAACGGGAAATCGCCACCGAAAGACAGGACGGTTCGCATCATCGAGCACTCCACCGTGGACATCACGCTGTACGCGGTGCTAGCCTCGGCCGCTAGTGTCGGTATCGTCATGGCATCCATTTTTCTCGCCATCAATATCAGATACAGAAATCAAAGGTGACGGCTCCGCCATAATATGTAACAATTATGCAACACGCGCGTAACACGGTTCCTCCATTTGGCTCCCAGATTACATTCTCAGTCCCAGTCCAGTGCGCGGCTTACGCGCGAAACTCAATATTACAGATACATCAAAATGTCATCGCCCCACCTGAACAACCTTATCATCATCGGTTGTATACTGACCTACAGCAGCGTTATCTTCCTCGGATTAGACTCGCAATTATCGAGCGTAGCGGCTTTCCCGTATATCTGTACGGCTCGAGCGTGGCTGTTGATGGCTGGTTTCTCGTTGGCCTTTGGTTCCATGTTTTCAAAAACGTGGCGTGTACATTCCATATTCACTGATGTGAAGCTCAATAAAAAGGTAACTCGTTAACGACTGTATAGTAAGAGCACGGAGCGCATTTTCGTGTTCAACGTTAACGAGCCCATATCGTGATTCAGGTTATAAAAGATTACCAATTGTTCATGGTCGTCGGGATATTGTTGGCTGTCGATCTCACGATCATGACAACGTGGCAAGTGGCCGATCCGTTTTATCGGGCGATAAAACAAATGGAGCCCTATGTGAGTACAAAAATATGCAAAAAATATGTTTGCTAATAAACATACGTTTATTTTATAAATTTCGGTATATTCCTCTTTCTATACATTTTCTATCGTAATTCGCCAAATTAATTCGCGAATTAATTTGTAATGGTCGGTTAATACGCGAATTGCCTCTAAATTGCAGCATCACCCTTCCAGCGAAGATATAATAATCATCCCGGAAAATGAGTATTGTCAGAGCAATCAAATGAATATTTATCTGTTTTGCATATATGCATACAAAGGCCTTTTAATGGTAAGTTAAGCTGAATCGCTAAGCGCCTTGGCGGATAAAATGGCATACGATAGGCACTTACCCGACCGCTTTCAGATATTTGGTGCCTTTCTGGCATGGGAAACGCGGCACGTTAGTATACCGGCATTAAATGACAGTAAATACGTCGGGATGAGTGTGTACAACGTTGTTATAATGTGCGTCACTGGTGCAGCTATAAGCTTCGTGCTGACTGACAAACAAGACGCCATGTTTATAATGTTGGCGGTGTTCATTATATTTTGTAGTACAGCCACTCTTTGTCTGGTTTTTATTCCTAAGGTACGTTTTTACCTCTCACTTGTATTTTATATTTTATATTGACCGATCTTCGATCGTAGACGATCGAAGAGATTAGCTAATTGAATGCCTTCCACTTAGCATTTTTCCAAACTGAAACTTTTGTCAAACGGATTTAATTTTAAATCGCTAAAGTCTTACAAAAGTTTTCGTTCATTTAAGCATGATATTATTGATTCGTTTGATACTGTCTATTTGTCGCGCGTTTACTCTCTTCAGCAAGTTTCTTATTACAATAAAATCTCTACAGAGCTCTTTTTCAGATTTCTCTTGCTCAGAATTCAAAGTCGACATACTTATTTAAAGAGAGACTTTTTAATCATATACTGTGTTAATCTTAAAATTTATATTTATATTAGAGAAAGAGTATTTTCACATATATGTATCTTTACTGTTTACATTTCATTTATCCATATAATTTTCTTTTCTTCTGTTATTTTATGTTAATTTTATAATACATTTCCTTTAGTTAATGTTTCAAACATATTTCGTGTTTTCTTTATACGCATGTTTTTAAAGGACTTGCCCTAGAGCATTAATAAAACATTTCTATCTATCTTATTCTCGGGGTAAGACCAACGAGAAGAGAGAGAGAGAGAGAGAGAGAGAGAGAGAGAGAGAGAGAGAGAAGCCAAGTAAGCCTCGTGGGATTTTCAGGTAATAGAGTTACGCAGAAATCCACAAGGGGCGATAAATAAGCGGACCAGGGCGACTCTGAGGCCAATGCTGAAGATACGAAGGGACTCGACAGTCAGCGAACTCGATGAGCGTTTGAAGGAAGCGAAACTGACGAATAAAAAATTTCGAAAGCAATTGTTACAAAAGGATTCCGAGCTTCAGGTAAGCTTTCCTATTCATCGAACTTCCAAACGGCATTACAGCAAGTATTACTTCGTCGGAGTTATGAACTTGTTGTACAAGGAATACGTTACGTAGTCTATTATCGCAGAATCATCTTGTTCCTTCAAATTCTACGACGAATTTAGAATCGATTTTGATGCTTAACATTAAAATTAAGCTCTGTCAAAAGAATTAAGTTCGAGATAAAAATAAAGAAAAATAGAAAATGTATCATATAATGTATTTTAAATTATACAATTGTTTATGTTATTCTGCATTTATCTTTGTCTAAGAATCAATTTCACTAAAATATCTCCTTGATAAAATGTATGCTGTTTAATAAAACATCCATGCACTGGACTAATTTGAGGAAGGTCGATGGCGAGTTTCGATTAACGGAAAAGCGAACGCACCATCCATCTTAATTCGGTTATATATGAGTAATCACGACGTCATTGCTGCTTCGTGCAGTACTCTCTGCGAATAATAATCGAAAATTATTCTGATGGGCTCTTAGTACGCTTGCATGTTTAAGCAATATTGTTTAATCCATAAATGTTGCATTCATATCGAGCGTGTGCATGGCGGCCATAGAAAATTATTTTATTATCTCGTATTTTACTTCAGGGATTTTTAAGGAGAATGGGCGAGGAAGTTGAAAGCGAAACGCAAGAGACGGTCGATACATTGCCAGTTCCGAAGCCGGAAGAAGCTAAGAAGGAAGGTAAAGGTCCGTTTTATTCAAAAGAAGTTGTTATATTTATTAAATAAAATTAAAAACGCAGAATTGCACAGTATTCCGAAGTAGTCATTATTAATTAAAATATATTTTGGTTTTAATTATATTTTTCTCACATAAAAGACAATTTTTTAGAAAATTTTTTTTTATTTCAAACAAAAGTTATATTTTTGATTTAAAACAAAAGTTATAATGGGTGAATCGCAAACTGTGCGCCTATCAATGCGCGATATTAATAATTTTTGTTTACTTACTTGACAGGACCGTCGATAACCACAGAGACGACTGATGTTTCAATGTCAATGTGTAGCTTGAATTCGTCAACCGTTTCGCAGCCAGAGGGTGATTACGTCAACGTGGATCAAGTAGCAAAGTACGTCATAACGTTTGATATCAAACTCCACCTTTAGATCTAAACCCTTTAACGAAACGTAGTTTAATTGGCCATTGCATATAGACGAATTATTTGACAAAAGCAAATTATTTGCTTCGTTTGACGATCGATTATTGACAATTCAATAGTAATTTCGCGATATATAAAGGAAATTTAATAAAAATACAGTTCAGAAATGTATATTGTGATCGCAATAAACACCATGTCATTAAAATCACTTATAATGTTATTTGTTTTTTTTTTTTTTTCAAAATTTAAACAAGAAAGAATGAAATTTGTAACTATTTCGATAATCCAACCCTGCTGACCACGTCCCGGAAGTCTCCGGTGCACCCGATTTGCCGTCCAGCCTCAGGGTAGTCGCGTGGTGCTTGTTTTAGGAAAAGGGCATCCCTTTCGAAGGCCACGTCAATCATCATCGACAACGAAAGAGTGGCTATGACGAGCCAGGCGATCGAGGAGAGCTCTTCTCCAGGCGCTGAGGCGGCGTTGGACATGACACCGCCGTCGCTATCGTTAATAACAACGACGACAACGGCGATAACAACGACGACGATGACGCATATGAGGCATACGTGTGGCGCGGACGCGTCGCGGCGCAAGAGCATCTCCGAGGAGGTGGGCAAGGACAGCGAACCATTACTGAAGCGCCACAGGACCCCGGAGCCTCTGCCGACCGACGCTGTGACCACGCGATACAGTTTCGTGCCACCGGTCGTCGAAGAGAGCGACTCCGTGATCCTGGAAGAGACTGAGATCGCGAGACACGTGTGCCGCGTGAGGAGGAGGAGCAAGGACGAGCGCAGGGCGAAGCTCTCGACGCCGCCGCCGACCAAGAACGTCTCCTTCGGTGAGCTCCACGAACAGAGCTACATCGAGCACGTGATGCCATTTTCATTGCAATACGTGCCGAATCATCGGCATACCGGTAAGAATTGGTCCTCCGCGAAGAATTCTTCCAATAAGAGTCTGAACATGAGCCCCAGTTTTGTACGCAGATAATAGTTTTAACAAAAATCTACGAGAAAAAGGACATATATTTACTATTTCTTCCTCTTTCTTATTCTGTTGTATCTTTTTCTTATTTATTTCTCTCTCGTCCTTTCTCAGGAATTGTTAAAATATGACGGACTAATCAGAAGTATAGTTTACTCAAATCCAGACTCTTATTAAAGGATCCTTAGTATGGTACACGTATATAAATAAAATTTGTACAAAAAAAGAATTTTTATACTTTCAGTCGTTGCACACACAATCGTAAAATGTCTTTCAAAAGTATAAATTTCTCAAACGTTGCGAAAATACGTACAAGAGCTTTAAAAAGAATTCAGACTTTACAAGCTAGACCGTATTTATACAATATTTACTAAACTGAATAAAAAGGAAGTTTGGTAAATATTCAGGTCAGTTGAAATATCTTCAAACTGAAAGCAATTTTTATTAAAGCAATTGATTCACTTACTTCCATTTATGTGACGTGGAAAAAAAAAGAAAGAATTATTTTACGGATTGAATTTTTGATTTGCGTATTTATCGAGCCTTTTCAACTTGACTGTTTAACTTTGTGAGTATATACGTACACTATATGAAATTTTATGAGTCTGTTTATTCTACAAGTCCAGCAAGCCAACATACCGGACTAACTATTGTTATTTGAACAGCACGTCTGTGTTCCAACTTTATGATTGAGGTCGCTCGGCATCCGTATCCGAGATTTGATTTGTTTGGCTAGATTTCTCTTAGATGTAGAGATCTGCAGAACTCGCGAGACATTGTGCGCGGACGCGGAGCGATACGGCGAGTGTTATCTGTTGACAGGGAAGTACGACGAGTCGATGTCGACGATCATCCAGCGTTCGATGTCGGAACGCACGCGGGAGAAGTGCCTGCGGCTGCACATCGGTAGCGGCCATCCTATAGTCGAGTGCTCGCACCGCGTCGCACGCCGCATGTGCCGGCACACCGGCTCGAAGCTGCGCCATCAGGCGCGGCTCGAGTACGTGCAGAGCACCCCGAATGTCGCGACGATGCACAACGGCAAGCACGTCGCGGCGAATCCGCGCGATGGAAGCGGCGACGTAAACGGTACCGTCTCTCAGTTTCCTTCATTAAGCGTCTCTATCGGTCTGTACACAGCGTCGGAAATTTACGGAATACTAAACGCACATTCGTTCTGAATGCACGGAAAGAAGCAAGTTCACTCATTATTAGAAACCCTAATGATTTAGCAAATCTATATCAGTTTTCCATAACAATTAATTTTTAGACACGATTAGGTCATTCGTATTTTGCACGTTTCTTTTTTTCAAAAAACTAGAAGTGTTAAATTATAATAAAATATACAAAGTCTTTTTAAATACACAATCTTACAAATACTTTTCAAAAATGTTGAAGTATATGTAAGAAAATAATTAAATTTTTGCATATACTGTTAAAGTAATGAAAATTAATTTGGGATACGAACGATGACTCATCATGTGCAGCAAAAAACCGGAAAATTATCGTGTGTACTAAGGATTAAATTGTACGGTTGCAAGAAGGAAATTCGCTAATAATTAGAAACCCTATTGATTTAACAAATCTATGGTCGTACAAACATAATCAGTCTTCCGTAATTCATTCATTTAATTAAATATCGGAGTTGCATAAAACTATTGCAACATTTTGAGATACCGCAGATTTCTTGCTATACAAAATTAGTGTTGCATTTACGCCAAAATCTAGTACAAAAAATTGGTTTTTCTGCAATGAAAAAGATAAAAATTTTTGAGACATCAGATTAATAATGGAAAATAAAAGTCAGAGAGCAGTAATGTTTAGTTGTATAATATATGTTATTAATTTGTTCAATATTGATTTCCTGATATTAAACACTAAATTTTAAAATATTGGTAACAAATAAATTAATTGCATTCGAGTCTACATACATATATATATATATATATGCTCAGCAGCTATCACATCTCGCGGGAGATGTAAATTAAAGATATACTTAGATTAAAGTAGTGACGAATGTTTAATAACGAAATGAATTGCCGCCAACAATTAATAAAGTATATAACAATGTCTGAATAGCAGTATAATTACGCAGTGAAGTTATTGATATACGGCTAATTGAATGCATCGGATAATTACCTACCCAAGCCTCACGAAATATTCATACCTTCATTATTCGAGCGTTAAGGCCGATTAACGAAGCACTCTAATACACGTGAATGTACGTACGTATATACATCTATTCGGACATCAGCCTAATGTATTTCGTGTATTTTGAATATTTGCCTTCAAGAATGAAGGATATAGCAGAACAACAAGTTACAATAACGTCAAATGGAATGGCTGTCATAACAAGTTGTGTTATATGTTTGGATAACGTCGAGGGTGCTAGATTTTGATGTGGATGCAATAAAGTAGAGCCATGCTCTACAACGAACGCGTTGTTGAGACAGTCCTCGACCTTGATGTCCTCGGTTGCAGGTGGTTCCGCGGTGAACGTGTCAAAGATGTACAGCGCCGTATCGGACGGTGAACTGCTGGATCTGACGATTCTGCCGATCTTTCAGAAGCTCCTCACCGAGCGGCACAAGAGCACTGCCAGACGGGGCTATCGCTCGAATATAGCTAGTTGCCCGAATATATCCATCAAGTGCGACATCGTCGAGTACCTCTAACGGCCAAGCCGGCGACGACCTGACGCTTTCTCGGTTCTCCTCACCGCGCCGCGCGCCGCGCCGGCACGCGAAATCACGTTTCTCGTCACGGACATCATCGATCGTGTAGGACGTGTTAGATCGATTATTATCTAAGTTAATTATAGTTAATCTCGCGTTTCGCGCGAGCGTCTTTTAGATTGTTGCGCCCCGAGCGAGCGGTCGGCGACGTTGTTCGCGATAATGCATCGTTAAATCGAAGCGTACATTTCAGACAGTTTTTACCATTTCGTTGATTTATTTATAAGAATGGACGATGGACTTGGAATACCGTTATACCGTTATACCGCGCCACCGCAGCCGGGTTAATTAATTATTCGTTCCGTCTCTCGCGTCCTCGCTCTACTGCACTCGATATATCACGGTAAAGCGTGGACGAGGACAAAAAAAGAAAGAAAGAAAATTGGATAACGTAACGCTCTAGTAATAATAATAATGCTCGAATCGTGTAACTCTCTCAATCAACGAGATACGAGAAAGACAACGGTCGACGAATAAAGGTAAGACTTTTTCTATAATATTACACACGAGAGATATTTTCTAAAGACGACGATTATTTAAGAGTAAGAAAAGGCGAAACGGAAGAAGAAAATATAAAAGAGAAAATAAAAAGAAAATATATAAAAGAATAACGAATTCGAAGTTTAACGAGGTCTATCGCGAGCTCGAAGACTCAAAGTCACCGAAAATCCCATTATCTGCTCGTCTCACTCGTCGTTGTTTGGTTCTAGACCTAAACGGAGTAAATGTATGGATTTGCGCGCGATATTATCGAGCACACTTAGTTACTTGAACGTCAGTCAATAGATCTTGTATCTCATTAGTGACGCAGCATGTTACGCGACATATAACAAACATTGCGGTGAAGCGAACGAGAGGGAAAAACTTGGTACACATCCGTGATATAGTACACGCAGTTTCGAAAGGAACGAAGTCGGGGAGGAAGAGAGGGACGGGAGTCGTCTGTCTATGTAATCGATATAGCGTATCGTTTTCGGGGAAGTGGGGAAGAGGGTAGGTAGAACCCTAGCAGCGAACAAATATTGTTTAAATATTTCCTAGTACGACCGAAGAATATTTTTGTGACGCGACTTTGAAACATTGAACTAGTTCTAGTTAATGCGGTTAATCAATTAACGAATATATACCTTCGAGATATTTACATTTACAACACAAATTACAGGAAAACATAAAAAAAAAAAGAATACAAAAGATATTTGTTAGCCGCGGCAGATTGGAAAGTTATAGATTTTAACTATTGACTACTGTTGCAGTGATTTCCAATTTGTAAAGCATTCTTCGTTCATGACTGCGAGAACCCTTTGAAGAAATGAGGATTTACAAGCGTCTCCGTCGGCTAACAAATGTTTTACAAAGAGAGGGAGAGAAAGCGAGAGAGAGAGAGAGAGAGAGAGAGAGAGAGAAAGAGAGAAAGAAAGTGTGTATGTGTGTAAATATACAATCTATAAGGACTGTTAAAGCAGAGATATCGAGAGTATGTTAATTAGGAGCGTGTCCGTTCTCTCCTTCGAGAGCGCCCGTTTTCACGAGGCTCGCCAAATCTCAGGCCGGAAGGCGGCAGAAGCGGTATTTTACAAATACTAAAAGTAAGTTTTCCCTCGCGTACATTTCTAAAATAAATAACTATGTGTTTGTAAATATATGTTACAAAGTAATGTATATTCATTGAATATTTCCTACATACACATACGTACACAGATGGATACACAGACACATATATACACGTCTAACTTGGCGCGTCTAGCCAATTCTAGGGGGTAATTATGTGAACGTTCACCAAGTATATTTCGTTCTCCGCTAGGGTGCTGTGTTCAAAAATACCTCGAGAAGTATAGCGGAGCATGTTAATAAAATGCCTTCGGGTATATCCCTAGAACTGATAATTATCGAATCGAATCGAATCAATGCATGCATTGTCAATTGCCTCATATCCTTTCGTTTTCTACGAGAAGTAATAAAGAAACACGATTCCATTCTACGCGAATCACGACGAGGAGATTCTTCGGTTCGGGGAAAATCGAATTTGTATACATCTCTCTCTTGCCCTAAGACGGGGTGACTTTATATCATGCGAATGCGAATCACGGAGGAAAAATGTGCGGTTGAAAGGTAAAATGGATACACTGTTCCTTTATGCGAGTGAAATTGAGTTTTCGTTATTCCAACTTGCGAGTGAACTCATTAAAAGTAGAGCTCACTGAGTATTTCCGTGAGATTCCTAAGTTTCCTAAGTTGTGAGGTTCTCAGACGACGCGGCCTAAGTCAACGTAACTTGTGACGTGTAATTCACGATTCACGACCAAAGTTAACCAGAGAGGTTCTAAGAAGAAAAGAATAAAATCTTTCTTTTTTTCTCCTCTTTCCTTTTAATGTGACGCGCAATTGTTCTCGTGTAACAGTATCCCGTTTTACGGCACGGAAGTTCCGTCGTGCAGCTCGCGTTTAAATATAGAGACACAACGATTTCAAATTCATCAAAGCCGACATCGCGACTCTCAATTAATAACGGTCTCGCGTCGTTTGAACTTTTAACAGATGAAACGACGCTCTAAACAAAGCGATGCAATATATTCAGATAAATTAAGGATAATTTTATTTCCGGTCAATACCGGTCGCATGACGAAACATTCGACGCGTTTATACTCGTATTCCTACTGTTAGAGCATGATCTTAATATCCCGTAATAATTACGTAAGCCAGTGGTGTCGCAAGCCATGCCAAAAGTTTTTTACAAATCGTCGCGAGAGCAAAATAAAGAGAGAAAAAAAACCTGACAGCAATATATATATATACATATATGCGACTAATGTATGCGTGCGTGCAGCGAAGCTGAAGGCGATTATAAAGTAAGTGTGATAAGAGTTACGAAGCGCTCTTTCTTCGAGATACATACATCGGTGTAACATACGGATGTATCTTTGTGAAAAATGGGCGAATTAAAAGTGATCGACTGGAATTCATTCTGTAAAATCCGATTGCCAGACTTCGAAACCGGAAGATTGGCGTTAAAACTTCGTAGTTCTCTTCCGACGAGTCTTTCGACCTCTTCTCGTAAAGAGAAAAGTTTCTTTTTCCGATTCTCTCGATCAAATGATGTAATTCGAGCAGTTAAATTTCTAATAAGACCAGAAATGGAGTTAACAAGGATTGGATGCGATTTCGGAAACACTCTATTCCCGCCGATTTCTTTTAATTCAAGGATTATAGGAAAGTACCTAAAAGGTATTTTATTATCAGCAAGCACATTTACTAGCGAGGAGTAACAACGACTCTTCTGGGGGAGTTGATTAACATTTGTTAACATTGTTATCGACTTTTATATATTATTACTATTTACATCTCTCTATCTGTACATATATTTTCGCAAGAGACAATGCATGTATCGTCAATTATCACGCGTTTAAAATATCCATCGTACCTCCATTTCGAAGGAAAAGAACTCTGCAAAAAATAAGTAAATTTAAAGGGATTGTGGAGAGAGAGAGAGAGAGAGAGAGAGAGAGCCCATCTTGTGTGAATGAAATCGTGAACACAGTGTCGCAGGTCGCGTTCCCGTCCTTTTAGCTCGCCTATTTTTTGCAGTAGAAGAGTAAAATAGTTTACGAGTGCACTTACGTGACGATCGAGGCTCGTCGTAATGTGAGAGATTGATAGCATGCCGGCGGATAAAGATAGGATTCTTACAAGTTACCGGGCACGTGTGATATCTTACTATCTAAAGTCTATCGAGGTAATTGCTGCGCAAGGCGAATCTTAATGTTCACCGCTGTCTACTCTCAATAAAGTGGCTGTCATTCAATATAAATTACTTACTTTTTTAATTTGACCGTGACAAAAAAAAACAGGCGATTACATAATGTGTATTATATTAATATTTATAAATTATATATTAATATATACATAAATATGCTATTTAAAATACGCCACATATATATGTATATTACTTGAATTTTTCTCGACATTTCATTGTAAACAATTAGTCGTTTTGCATATAAACTAACAATTAAAAAGTAATTCCGCTTTCAAGTTATAATAGGAGAATACAACAGAAGATCACGATTCATCATGAATAAACAAAACGCAATTTAACACAATTTATTTTTCTGCATAGTTTTATGATGTATGTGAAAAATTGAAACAAAACGGAAGGTACGTACATCGATTTAGAATTTTAATGCATGCGTGTAAACGCGAATCAAAGTATTTCTGTTGAAATAACGTTTGACAAAAATCGTTCGACGGGCGACATTCGATTTTATTGTTTCCCGCGGTGACCATTTAATCATCCGTTTTTCAAGGCAGAACGTAAAAGCAGACGATTGGCTGTCACATCGCTTCTCACAGCGCAGGTCATATCCATGTAATTCTATGTGTGTGTGAATTTATTCTTTGTAATATATTAAACTTTTTTAAACATGAATATAGAATAGACCTCTCCATCGTTCATTCCCGTGAGGACGCAATTAAGAAATTTTTACGTTCTCAATATTTTTCTTTTTTCCCTAACTTCTGATTACATACATCTATCTCATTTTAATGCAGAAAATATAATACAGTGCTACTACTACTATTTATTTTTTACAGCTGCACGCTCTGTGCCGTTCCCTCTTTTTCTATCCGACATCCAATTGTATATCTATCTTATTTTTAAGTGCAAGAAGCAGTGCAATTATCTTCTTTATCAGGGGAGTCGCACGATGCGCTGTTGAGTGTCGCACACGTGTAGTATAACATAACCTCTACTTTTGACGTTTGTAATATTTATTCGACAGATGAAAGATCTGTAAATATTCTTCTGTGTTTACTGTAGTTTATTCTTGGTGCAGAAACACGATTATGGCAAAGGTTTCGTGGAAACGTGTTAAGACAACAAGAAGTACGAGAGAGCAGTTGGAAATGCTCGATAAATCGGTATGACGTCTATAAACGCGTTTGGAAAAATGTTTCGTGTATATTTATATTTTATATCGTGTATTTATTTAATATATTACTTACATCTCTACGTGGTCCGGCTTGCAGGAACTAATCGATAAGATATTACAATTGGAAGCTCACAACGAGCAACTGAAACTGACGATTACAAAACGTACGGATACTAAAATGAAGAAAGAAGAGACACCAGGGAAAGTAAGAAAATCATTTGATTTTTCACGGTAAATACGTTGCTCTTGAACTTGTCACGTTCTTCTTCCATTCGAGTGATATCTTATAATTTCAATCGCAGGTGTCACAAAAGGCACATTTTGCTAAAGTTTTATTATCTTGGTTGGGATTATCACGGTTTTGCTGTACAGGAAGATAATACTGATACCATTGAGCATCATTTATTCGCAGCTCTGCTAAAAAGTTGCTGCATAGAATCCCGCGAGAGCTCAAATTACCATCGTTGTGGACGAACCGATAAAGGTGTTAGCTCCTTCTCTCAAGTAATCTCATTGGATGTACGCAGTAGATTAAAACCAGAAAATCAAGACAACTTATCCGATGAGTTGCCATATTGTAAAATATTGAACAGATTATTACCAGCAAACATAAGATGTATAGCATGGTGTCCGGTCTCATCCACTCTCTCCGCAAGATTTGACTGCAAGTTTAGAAGCTATAGATATTTCTTCCCAAGGGGTAATTTAGATATAGAGGCCATGGACAAAGCTGCCAAGTATGTTGTAGGGGATCATGATTTCCGTAACATTTGTAAAATGGATGTAGCTAATGGTGTAATCAATTTTAAAAGAACTGTAATAGATGCAAGAGTGAGCTTTCTTAATGATCAGAATGTAGAAAAGTCAACAGGTATCTTACATTTTTTCAACTGTTTAATATTTACTATTGACGTAAATTAATATACAGTAAATTTCGTTTTATTTTCAAGGCTACGATATGTGTGAATTAGAAATCACAAGTCAAGCCTTTCTTTGGCATCAAATTCGTTGTTTAATGGGCATCTTGTTATTGGTTGGACAAAGGAAAGAAGAACCTGACATAATCTTGAAGCTCCTGGACATTGAGACTTGTCCACAGAAGCCACAGTACAATATGGCTCATCAAGTTCCATTGAATCTCTGGTATTGTGATTATGAAAACATGAATTGGTTTATGGACGAAAATGAATTATTAAACACTATCAAAGTATTACAACAGGATTGGGCTCTCAATACTATAAAGTATGTTTAATAAAAGAGAAATTCACATAATCGTACGTGATCAATTTGATAATCAAATTCCTTTTTTGTTGTATGCAGATCTACAATGATTAAAAATATGTTGATGAAATTGGAAAATTTCGTTAACTGTGTAAATACTGATTTTCAAAGCGATTGTCTACTTCTCGGAGTACAATCAAAAATATACCAACCACTGATGAAGCGAGAAATGTGTGGTAAGTATATGATCAATCAAAGCTAGTGAATGTAAAGTCATCGATAAAGTCGAGATTTAATTTCCAACTTTTAGTATGTTATTAAAAAACGTTTTCTTTTCACTTTACATTACTTATTCGTAATGTAGCCCATATATTTATTAATTTTGAGACATTGCATACAAATACACTATTTTAAGTCTATTAATATGCTTTGTATTAGACTATGATACAGACATTCAAAATATTTTGACGATCATATATACGTAATTTCACGTTCTTTTTTTTTAATACTATACTAAACACAATGTCGCCGCGATTGGACGTTCTATACTTGAGATTACAATTTTCTAAATGTACATTTCTTGAATAGTACAATTTAATTAAATTAAGTCTGTCCAACATATGATTTACGAGCAAAATATTTCTTCCTATCATTTCGATGAATAAAATGTACAAGATGTAAGTAACGAAAGAGAGTAGATTATCATATAGACATGTGTTCGTTGTATCCATGCGTTGCAATCAATTAGTTAGATATCATTAAAGAAATAAGAATAATTGAGAATGGAGATAAAGAGTGATTGCATGAATTAGGATAAACTTGATGAACTTGGACAGACTTATACTACATAATTCACTTGGTACAAACTGAATTTTACTTATCTATGTGTATATAATCTATTTTCTTTTACAGACAGTTTGGAAAATAAAATCAAACATTATGAGAAGAAACGAAAATTTGAAGTCACACATTCCAAGGTTATGTAGCATATACCTATGCTAATCACAGAACTTGTGTAATATATTACACACACTAATAGTTTTAAATACATGTTTTTCTCTCTTAAATGTAAATATTACATATAGCGTCTTAAATTTTCACTATACGTGTGGGCTTTGTTTAGCCTTATTGTTCGTCAAATTTTGATAGCGATTAGATTTTTCCAAAAACATTAAATTTTACAGGAACGCTGTGTTGAAATAATGTGTAGGCCTGGAATAATACATTCGTGAAAGAATGACGAGGAAAGTTTATACGAAGCAATAATCGAAATTTTTATAATGTATGGAAACTAAAATAAATCATTAAACAAGATGAATTTTTCTGTGCATAGCTTACTAGTATTTTTAAGTATTCATAATGTTATTGTAACTTTATCTAATCTTGGAAAATCTAACAGCGGTTTATGCTAAACATTCAGGTTCATTTTAAAATGTTTATTTACAGAGGATGGAGCTAAAGAGCTATAAAGATGGAGTTGAAAAAGAGCTATATATACATAATTAAAATGCGAAATTTAGCTTGGGCATTTTAATGTAACCGATGTAAACACTTTCTTTGCTGCTTGATATATTTTAGTTGCGATAGCATTAAACAATGAAGTCAACATTGTCGCGAAATTATGACTGTGATCGACGATTTAAGAAAATTATCAATCGATGTTTTTTGTTTATTTCTTTTCGGTTCTATCACAGGACGGCATGCATTTAAAACGCGTGTCGAAATTGCTTTCTTCCTCTGATGAATTTTCCTCATTATTCTTACCCTCGCCATCTTCATCTTCCTCTTCTAATTCTTCTTGCTCTAAAAGTCTTCTCGCCATTTGTACAGCGTGCCACTCTCGATAATGGCCCTTTCTTTTTGCCTCGAAAGCTCTTCTCCTTTCTAAAATAGAATGCGTCAATGATTACAATTTTTATATTATAAAGTAATTAATTTCTACATTATAAGATGTCTAACCTTTTTCTTCAGGAGTTTCTTCGTCTTCCTCCTCTTCACTGGATTCCTCAAAAATTTTGGGCTTACTACCTCCAGCTAATCTGAATTTTAATAATAAAGTAGATAATATCAAATATAATTTTACAATTTTATTAACATATAATCAAAGCATATAATTATAAATCAATGTATCTTGTATTAATAACTAAAATTGATTGTATATCATATCTACTTACTTTGCTGCAAGAGCACTAGCATCTAATTGATCAAACTCATGTTCATTTTGGAGGCCTTCGAAATTATATGGGGTTTTTGGTTCTTCAATCTTCATGTGGCCATAGTCTTTATCAGCAGGATGAAGAGTAGCAATAATATTCATTTCGTCCCATGTTGTTTCTTTGCTCGGTCTACATTAATATAAGGTAAATAAAAAAATGGTGTTCATCACCAGGTCTAAAAATAGAATCTGTGTCAACTAACGCTGGGTAATGTCAATTACTTCACAATTTAAGAATATACAAACAATATACTTTTCTTTGCAAGTTATTAACTTTGGATTGAATAATTCCAGAAAAGTATACATACTTTAATTACATCCTGATAAAAAAAAGGATTTTTTGGAAAATATTTTTCACAGAGATAATCGCGAATTCAAACGATATGTTTGAGGTAATATTGAGTAGAAAACAGTAAATCAAATTGAGATCACGTATTATCTCGAGAAAAATGTTCGATAATTATTTGTTCTCTTCGTCGAGACGTCTGTCACGGTTCGCGTGAACTCGTGATTTATAAATACCGGACGAATGTGCCGCGCGTGACACGCAAGTCACGCAAACCACCTTTAACGTCAACGGGAGACGCCGACGGTGGGTTTTGCACGCGTCTCTATTTTTACGCCAATCGAAATTCAATTAATGCGACTCTCACCTAGGCGCCTCCGGATTGTCAAAACTGCTAGACGTCTTGAGGATTCCTTTGGAAGGCCGTTTCGACAGGTTCTCTGCCATTATAATCGGGCGTAATCACGACGGTCACTCACGATGGTAATGCCGCGGCTGCATGTTTACCAATGGATCTCACTCTGGCGGAATAACCTGCCTGTACTCTGCACTGGGTGTCACTTGGTGTCACTTACTCGCGGAGCATCCTCTCGCGCACTCCTGCTCCTGTCCTGCTTTGTCCTGCTCCTACTCGATCTCTATTATGGCCATAAACTTAAAAAATAATAGACTGCTCGGCGCCGCCCTTGGCGCCCTTTGATCAGAGAGAAGCTTGAAGGTGCCTTTTCAATTTTCATGCGCAGCACGCTGCGCCAGCAAAATATCACGCGATGCCAATTTTTCATAATTGCTTCCGCTGCATTTGCTGCGTATGAAAAGGAATAATGGCAACAGTATATATATATATGTATTAAAATTTAACCTCAAATATGTGTCTTTAGGTCTGTTCGTGTTGCTTGCACTTTTGGCACTCGACATCTTCGCTTTCTCTCTTTTTAAGGCAAAATATGTATCTATCTCATTTTAAGTGCAAAAATATTTGGGGATTTCATGCAACGCGAACAGACCTATTTGTTTGCTCAGCTCGAAAATTAATATGGAAAACTTAAAAAGCTAAAAAACTTGTGATTATATGGCAACTGTTAGTGCAGTTACAATTTGGACAATTACCATTTCAAGTAATTATTTAGAATTTAGAATATTCTCATCACTTTAAATCTTAATAAAAATGTACTTATTGTATGTGGTCATTATATGAATGTACTCAATTTTCACATTTTTTGCAAATATTGCAGACTTTCTCGGCTTTGAATTCTTTGCTGCTCGTTGTTCGTTCAGTTGAACTTCAATGAGACGTGGCAAAATGTATTTTGCGACGGAAGTGCGTCATCTTGTAAAATTTTTAACCAACAGCTACGACTTGTTGCCGCAGCTTGCTGCGTATGAAAAGTCAGCTTAACGAAATATTCCAATCAGATGCAAGAGCGCACCGAGCGCTCAGTGAGCGGTTGTAGTACTGAACGCACCCAATATGAACAGACCTAATATTTCGAATATTTCGCAGGACTTTACATCGGTTATGTATCATCATGAGGGCCACAGAAAACGCGCGCGATCATCGCATTTTTGTGATTAATATGTGTGATAATTAATTGTGTTTTCGAAAGTGTCCAGTTATAAGAAGAATGAAAGAAACTGCGACGAAAAATTGACGGCAGAGAAAAAGGAGAAGATGACACACACGGAAGGCACAGAGTGACAACGAAACGGTGAGTATTTTGGTGAGAAGTAATTCATTACTTCTTAATTTTTATATATGTTACTTGTAGAATAAATTATTTATTCTTACTTTTTATTTGGATAATTTAAAAACGAAAATTAGAAGATTCTTATTTATGAAACGTTAGAAACGTTTATACATACTTTTCGAAAATTATGTGTAACTATTTTAATAACATCTTTCTTTTGAATAAAATAAAAAATAATAAAAATTAAGTTAAATATTTGGAGCGAGTAAATAATTGTTTTTAGAAACATTATTTTGGCGTAAGATTATAATTTAATTTGAATTTTACATTTGTATTTCGTAAATTAATATAATTAAGATAATTATAACTCGTATTGTACATTGTGTAGCTTCAAGCTTTATTCATTATCAATTTAATCTATTTTATTAATTATTTTTTTAATTATTAATTTAATCTATTATTATAATTATTAATTTTAATTTACTAGTACATCCCCTGCGCACGCTACGCGCCCGCTGCTCTATTATACTCTCCTTTTTAAATATTATGAAATATAATATTGCGAATCTGGATTCAAAATGTTTGAATAAGAAAAATGACCGAATCATTATGGCGGTTCGAAAATTTAAAAATTCAAAGTGGTCGAATCAATATGGCGGATGGAATTCTTTAGTTAAATACCATAAAAAAATTTATAATACAATTATTTATTATCGAACGCTAATGTTACCATGATACATGTTGCTTCATTTTTTTGTTCTACGTTAGAGGAGAAAATCTTCGTATACCTTTTGCCAGGTAATGTTTCATTTCAACATCAACCTGACCAGAGGAAAACACCTGGCGCCCAAGCTCACCGCGTGTGTTGGATTCTTTCAGTTCGTGTTTTCGAATAGTAAAATGGAATATTTTTTTTGCATTTTCGTTTGCTCATCATTTGCTCACGATTGCTCCGTCCGAATTTTCGTTTGCTCACCTTTAGTTTAAAAGTTATATGAAATTTAAATTTTGGGGGATCAACTTTACGCTAGCACCCCCCACTATTAAAAAATCGAATATTTATTTTTTGCATTTGTTTGCTCATCGTTTGCTCACGATTGCTCCGTTGGAATTTTGGTTTACTCATCCTTAGTTCAAAAGTTATAACAAATTTAAATTTTGGGAGAACAACTTCAACGCTAGCCCTCCGATATTAAAAAATCGAATATTCTTTTTTGCATTCGTGAGGCAGAGCGTCACGTGACCGCCCGACAGCTCGGCCGTGCGGTGGTGAGAGTCTCGCGCGTCGGAATCGGCCCGAAATGTGCAAATCCTTGCGACCACTGCCTTATATAATGACGGCATTATCGACATTCTCCCTTACCTCCTCTCCCTGTCCTTTTTTCCTAACCGGTACTCCCACTCCCTCCTTCCATTCCTCTGGCCATGCCCCCCCTTTCCAAACCTCATTACACACTTTCCACACCCATTTCCCATCCCCCCCAATATTTCCATACCTTATTCGGAATCCCGTCTATTCCCATTGCCTTTCCATCCTTCAAGTTTCTGGTCACCTTCCTTATCTCCTTCCTACTTAGCTCCCTCTCCACCCCCTGTCTCCCCTTACTACTCTCCCTTCCACCCCTCTCCAACAAATCCTTGAAATATTCCTCCCACTCCCTCATCCCTATTTCCTTATTTATCCCCTTCCCAAAACTTCCTTTATTCTTCCTTCCGTTTCCTTCATACTCTCGTTCCCTTCCCCTCCCACCGTACCTCCACCAACATTTCCTTAAATACAACCCTACCTTCCTATCAAAATTCACCAAAATTGAAGAACCTTTTAGATTTCCGTAACATTACCGTCCGCCATATTATTTCAACCATTTTAAATTTCCAAATTTAAAACACGGTTTCGGAACGAGCGTCCCCATAAACCCTCTAATATCAAATGCCACCATAAACGGTAAATCTTTTAGATTTCCGTAACATTTCCGACCGCCATTTTGTTCAGCCATTTTGAATTCTCAAATTTTGAACAAGATCGAAATGAACGACCCCAAAAACCCCCTAAAAACAAATTACACCATAATCGAAAAATCTTTAAAATTTCCATGACATCTCCATCCTCCATATTGGTTTAGCCATTTTGAATTTCCAAATTTTGAACACGAATTCGAAACGAGCAACCCCAAAAACCTCATGATACCAAATTTCACCGAAATCGGAGAAACTTTAGGATTTTCATAACATTTCCGTCCGTCATAGTGATTCCGCCATTTTGAATTTCGAAATTTTTATCACGATTTCGGAACGAGCGATCCTTAAAACCCCCGAATACGAAGCCACATCGAAATCGGAGCACTCCAACACCCCTTTGAAAAGAGGCTTCAAAAAAACGTGACACTCCAATTTTAATATAGGGAATCAAAATTTTAATTTCAGTTAATAGATTCGTAAATATTGCAAATGTAATATTTTATAAAATAATCTGTTTGAGAGTATTAATGAAGGTATCTTGATGAAAATAAAAAATCACGAGAAATACTTTTTTAAATCCGTATATTAAGTATGAACAAATATGAACAACACTTACAACATAACATTATAAACTTACATTGTCAATTAAAGTTAAGTACAGTTGACGATACGTATGTAGGCTTCAATCAAGCCTCTCGATCAATTCTTTGGATGCTGTTGCTTACACGACTCAAAACAAGCATTAGGTTTAGGAAGAACATTCGATATTTCAGAGATATGCTCTACGATTCGGAATTATATGTAGTAGCAATAAGATGGCACTTTATTAATGCATAGGATGTTTTAATTTCTTGTGGTATCGTGTTAGCCGACGCATTCGAAGCTATAAAAATCTAAAAAAAATCCGTAACGGTGATATTTCCCACATTTCAAGGAAGAAGATAAACTCTCATAAAGAATTACCTCTTCAGACTCTCTCTATTTAGATCTTTGAGATCCTTTGGTTTATTTTTTAAGCGGTCACTTCGCTCGCCGCACACTTGTCGTACATTGCGTCTAAGACTTGAATAAACTTCAAATGACGTTCTTCCGGAGCGACAGTAGCACCGCGGCTGCCCCATAAGAACTTGATGTGAAATTCAGTACGAAAGGCGTCCGATAGTAATTCATCATTCCTGCAACCTTCTAAGACGATTTCCGCATTTCTGCGAAAGAGCGGCAGACTACCGGCTAGCTTGCGAGCTGCCTCAAGATGCGACCAGACGATTGATAGACCGCAATCAGATGCCGAATTTTCCCATGGTGAAAGAATCGCTGCTGTAAGTCCGAAAGGTGCTACGGTACCTATAATAAATTTTGTTGAATGAAGAAATGATATAGTATTGAAAGAAAAAAAGAAAGTGAATTAACAATTAATAATAACGAAAAAGATACAAATAAATATATAGATATCTGTATTTAAAACAATTATGAGATGAGTATGCACAAGTGTGAAGCAAGATATCTTCTGTTTATTCACTGATTACTTATTTTGCAAATAATTTTATTGTATAATTATTTTTTATACGATTACCTAAAACATCTTCGGGACCACGTTCGCCAAGTAGCGCAATCGGTAGCAAATGTGGCAACGTTGTATTAGGCGCCTGCGGATTGGTACATTCGTTCATAGCCCGTAGAGTAGGTCTCAATTTCGCTTCGAAACTAAAAGCTTCGTCCGTATGTTTTTGTCGTAGCAAGTGCCATGTATTGGCCAGTCTCTGAATTTGCGGTAAGCATAGACCGAGCATTACGCCACAGAAGCCATAAAGATTGCCGAGCGCGGTTTTAGTGTCGATTGCTACTTTGATCCATTTGCTGATAGTAGCTGCTCTTTCTACGATATTAACAATCGTCATTTAGAAGCAAGAAAAATTAAGTGCTCTCTTTTTAATATTTATAACTTATATTTAACTTATTTTGTGTAAACTTAAAATTTATTTTTTCTTTCTTAATAACTTTTATAAATATTCATCATAGCTGAAAATTAATTAAAATAGACTAATTAAAATAAAATAAAACAAAATTTCAAAACTCACCTATAGCTGTAGCGCCAGCCAACACAGTTACCGCCACCACTAGTTTCAGGCATTCAGATCTCTCAATTAGGTCCATTCTAGCTTGTCTACCGTGAGGAAGGGTCGCCAGTTCGATACCGCTTAATCCACTTCTGTTTCCTGGTCCCGGTTGAAGTGCCACTTCAAGATCGAGCCTCGTGAGATGAGAGGCGAGCACTCTTGGTGCTGAATCCAATAACATTCCTGAGACTCCCCTCAGGGCTGTTGGATCCAAAGGTCTGTGTTCGCCGGCTGGTAATAGCAATGTCGTAAAACCCTCGATATCGAGCATAGTGGTGATTTCTAGAGACGGTGCGGCTACCACCAACTGTTCTTCTGCCGATAATTCGTATTCGCTGTTATTGTTACCATTGATACCGTCGTTACTAGTGTTATAATGACTACGTATCACCACGCCCTTGATTGGCACCGAAGAAGAGGGATTGCTGGCACCGCCAGAATTATTAGTCTCGAACTCGCTGTCTCCCGATCCGTTTCCGCTGTCGCTACCGGATGCTTGATAGCTTTGATGATGATGGTGGTGGTGATGATGATGGTGATGATGATGATACTGATGATTCGGCACGTAGGGCACTCTGGGAGGTTTAGGTGGGGCTGTGTTCAAGGTGTTTTGAAGATTCAAACTTGGTGACTGTTGCTGTTGCTGTTGCAACGCTGGATCCGATATCACCCGGGTGATCTTCTGACGACCCAACGACAGAGAACAAGAGGGCGGTTGGTTCTGAATTGGTGGTACTCGTGGTAAAGTACTGGATTGGATAGGTAATTGCAATCCTGTTTGTTGATTGCTGTCTCGAGCAACGTGCTGATCTGGAGCATGATGTTGAGCGGTTAAAGAATGGCTGCGCTGTTGTTTTCTGGGTAGGCGAGGTGGTGAACCAGTTGACAGAGAGGTGGAGGAAGGACTAGAACAGTGTTGATTACTCGTAGGCCCTGCAACGCATG